TAAAAACAAAAACAAAAACAAAAAAAAAACAGGAATATTCAGCAAGGATGTGTTAAATATATAAAAAGCGATAGTGAAAAAAAAAACTATTTTAAAACTTTTTAATAATAAAAAAAAAATCCTGAAAAAAAGTATCACAGCTTATAAAATAAATATTAAGCACCATTTCTAACATTTGATAATAAATCAGAATATTATAAAGTTTTCTGAAGGATCACATGACACTAAATTCAGCTTTGCATCACAGAAATATATTTTAAAGTATATTAAATAGGAAAACCATTATTTTAAATTGTAATAATATTTCACTTTATTATTTTTCTGTATTTTTGATCAAATAAATCCCAGCTTGATTAGCATAAGAGACTTCTTTCAAAAACATTAAAAATAGTAATGTGTCCAAACTTATGTACTGTGTAAGTAAAAACATTTAAAATTAAATGTTGTTTCAAGAGTTTTTTATTGGGGGTGGGGGGCCTCCAACATGAATATTGCCTAGGGCCTCCAAATGTCTAGAACCGGCCCTGATAATAGTGACCCAGCTGTGAAGGAGAAGTGCCTGCAGACTGGCTGAAATCTCCTGCTTGTTTCGGCAAGGCCTTCGCCTCCTGAACAACAGTTCTGATTGACTCTTAAACAATCCTGCAATTATAGACCTTCTGTGTGGATCTCTCCCCAGCGCTGGCCTCTTGTGTAATACACTATTAAAGCAATTAGCCACTCGAGGCCTTGCATTGCAGTGATATTACCATGTTTAGGAGTTTTCTCTCCCACAACGTGAAGTACTCTAGGTCAATCACATGTTCTGTCATGGCTGCCATCAAAAACACCCTAGCATCATGATGCCGTGTAAAAATAAAAAAATAAAAAAAAATAGTATAATTATTCTCATCACATTTTAATAATAAAAAAGAACAATTATTATTATTATCATTATTATTATTATGCATGCTTATGTTTGTCAGTCATCTCTACTGAATATAGATTTCACATGCTATGAAATGCGTCTTAATAATAATAATACCAATAATTGATATGAGCTAAGAGATTTGCAGCTACTGGCTAATCAGATTTCAGAGGCGAGCCGTGTCTTTTGTAAGACTAGTTCATGTTTTCCAAACTCTTCAATGCCTGTTTTGGCCATAAGAGCGAACACAGGCTTGTGTTTTATGCGAGGCAAATGAAATGGTTTTGATTGTGATATGCCTCTAATGTCAGCCGCAGTTACATTTCTCATTACGCGGATCGTTTGGTGGGTGGTTTGTTGAGCAGTAAAATGCGTAATGAGGCGTTGTGCGCCGCTGCAGTGTAAATTTGTAAAGTTTTATGATTGATGTCTTTAAAAAGACAATCCTGCTCATATGTATGCACACCCACACTATCCCATCATTCATAGGCTGTGGATGAAGCAAAAAAAAAAAAACCTTTCTTCAAATTATCCATCTCTGGCGCTGGCACACCAGAAGAGCGATTGAAGAGCGTCGTGATTGAGCGAGTTTGTAGGAATATCTGCTCTAGCCTCAGAAAGCTGTCTGTCAATCCTTGCCAGATAAATACTATCTCTGATCTGTTCTCTCTTTTGCAAAAGCGAGTGAATGGCATATGTACATGTATGGAGAAGTGGAAGTTTTTTTATCATCCGACACCGAGACTGTTCTGTGAGCGTGTTATGAAATATTAGTAAATCTGCAGTGCCAGAGTGAGAGGTGGCTTTTACTGTGGGACATTCACTTTCCAGTTATTGCAGCCCGTTCTCATCCCAAGGCGTCATACATGTGACGCTTTGGACATTTCGACGAAATCTTACGCACATGGCATCCTTTAGCATCAATATGAGACGCAGATCCCAAGGCGTCATAACCGTAACCCGACCCCAGACCTACACCTTCCCATAACAGTGCGTGTTATATTGACGCTAAAGGATGTCATGTGACGAAATGTCATATGGCGTCACCTATATGACGCCAAAGGATGAGAATGTGTTGGTTATTGCTACTCTTTTGAGGTTTTTTTTTTTTCATCATGCTGGTGATTCAATATTAATCAAGTCAGACATAGCTGTTAAATAAGGAAGAGATTTTAATAGCATTAGACTGGCGTTTATAAGCGTTAGATCTTCATTGCAACTAACAAGCAAGTACCTTGGTTTTCAGACATTTTGGCGACTTGTATTAGGAACTGCATCATGACACATGAGCAAAAATGTACAATCTACTCAGCTTTACTGCAAAAACATCATTCTTTTAATTCATCCAAGAGGTCACGCCGTAACATATCAATCTTTCATTGGTCACACGTCTTCACATGATGTGAATTCACAGGTAAGATTTCACCAAACTTTAACTTTGAAAAGCATAAGAATGCAAAAATGAGCTTGCGTTTGCGGGTCTGATGCATTTGCATGCGAATGAATGGAAGTCAATGGAACGAAAAGTGTAGTGTTGTTTTAGTGTGTTGCTATGCAATTCTAAATAGTTGTGAATAATCACAAGCACACTATATTTGTTTTACAATCTCCCGTCACTAATTTTGTTAAGCCCATGACAAGCTGTTTGTTGGTGTCGTTTTTATTTTGAAAAATTGAGAAGTCGGTATTTCGTTTTTTTTGTTGTTTCGTCAGTCTTAAATTTTCCACTCCAACCACTTAAATCAATTTGTCTCCGAGCCTCAAAAGCACAAAACACACAGCGAGACTTAGCGTGTATTTCTGGAGCATTAGCATTCCACTGAAGTGTGTGTCTTTCTCTCAGAGCGTTATTCAGATGAGTGTGTGGAAAGAGCTGGAATGGCTAAGTGACAGCCCTGAGCTAACACACACACACACACACCTCTTCTGCCTTAAGCTGGAATCAAAGCAGCGCAGGAGACGGCTCAGTGTGTTCTGAGGGGCTTTTTGTCTCGCGTCCTCCATTCAGACACACCGCTGAGGTGAAACCACATGCTCGTGCGTGATGGGGAGGCTCAGCGTGACATAAGTAGCATGCTTTTCTTTTTCATCTTATTTTCATGTTTTTTGTGTCCTTTATTTTCGTAGTTATAATCTGACTCTTTTACAAAACAGGTACTAGCAGGATCCCTGGTACTTTGATATTGCCTACTGTACTGAATGATACCATATTCATATACAGTAGTATTTACATGGTACTCCAGTGTACAGCATAGTATTACTATGGTCTGTCCTTGTTAGGCTTTTCAATCAGAAGCTTTTGCAATAATAGCTGCTCAGACATCTGATTAATGTTCGTTCTTAATAATATCTATATATGCATATTATCTGAATATTATCAGAAACACCAGCGATTTCAAACCGTGTTTTTGAGACTGTCTTTGGTTCACTGCCGTTTTAAGGAGAAAATACTCAGCAATGCTGTCGACTTATGAATTTACACATGGTTTGTCTTAAAGCACATTAAAAACACCACATAGACATATAAACAACATTAAAAACTTGATTTTCCCCACAGGTGGACTTTAATAGCCTTTACTAAACCCATTAAAATACTCATAAAGGCCCCCTTAGTCAATAATTGTATCCATTAAAACTCTTTTTGATCACCAAAATGTCATATTTAAATGTTTTTTCCTTGAAAAAAAAAATCTTGATGCCTTAAAATAGCTTGAATGTAACTCTACACCCTTGCCTCATTTAGTATACATGGTTCTATTAATATGCAAATGAGCCCCGCCTCCACTCACTCACTCCAGCTCAGAGATCCACTGGTTGACGATCACACGTTGATCTGATTGGTTACAAGTTGCGAAGTCAGAAACACCGGCGATTTCAAACAGTGTTTTTGAGACTGTCTTTGGTTCACTGCCGTTTTAAAGAGAAAATACTCAGCAATGCTGTCGACTTATGAATTTACACATGGTTTGTCTTAAAGCACATTAAAAACACCACATAGACATATAAACAACATTAAAAACTTGATTTTCCCCACAGGTGGACTTTAATAGCCTTTACTAAACCCATTAAAATACTCATAAAGGCCCCCTTAGTCAATAATTGTATCCATTAAAACTCTTTTTGATCACCAAAATGTCATATTTAAATGTTTTTTCCTTGAAAAAAAAAAATCTTGATGCCTTAAAATAGCTTGAATGTAACTCTACACCCTTGCCTCATTTAGTTTACACGGTTCTATTAATATGCAAATGAGCCCCGCCTCCACTCACTCACTCCAGCTCAGAGATCCACTGGTTGACGATCACACGTTGATCTGATTGGTTACAAGTTGCGAAGTCAGAAACACCGGCGATTTCAAACAGTGTTTTTGAGACTGTCTTTGGTTCACTGCCGTTTTAAAGAGAAAATACTCAGCAATGCTGTCGACTTATGAATTTACACATGGTTTTGTCTTAAAGCACATTAAAAACACCACAGAGACATATAAACAACATTACAAACTTCACCACAGGGGGACTTTAAGAAATAGTTTTCCAGTTCCATAAAGATGTTTTTTATTGCCTGTAAACAGAGTTGATAACCTGTGCCCACAGTGCATTTTGCTATTCATATATTTGTCCTCACTGTTTGAAGGCTTTACTTTTTATGTGTCCTTCTCAAGGTGAGTCTCAATAGGATGGGCAGATTCTAGCATTGGTGTAAAAACGAATTCACCCATAAAGAATTGTAATATTTCATGTCATTTGTCAGCAGTGCTTTCTCTGCACTAGTGCGTCTTATCTGCGGCCAATCACAGCACACATCCATTCTGCCCCACATAAACCCCAATCTGTCTCTCAGCCTGAGGTCCTATCGCTTTTTAGTGTGGCTTGAGTTATTTGTCCCGTCTCAGGCTCTTGTGGGTTTTTTTCAGGGATTCTTCACGCCTTTTTCTTTGCTATGCTAGTTGGTTCATGTAAGGCCTTCCTCATCAAGCCAACAACAAAGCTTCAACTGCCTTTGCACTGAAAAATTGGAAAAGAATCCAAAGAAACGACACCCACTCACGGCGAACAACCGTCTCTCATTCTTTATCCTTTTTTTGTCTTTATAGCTACACTCTGCGAGTGGTTGGCAACGGGATTAAAGCCCAGGCAGAAAACCCAGAAGTCAAGGTGAAGGAGGCCGACCCGGTGATCAATCAGGTCATTGATAAACTGAAGCACATCAATCAGGTGAGCCTCGCCAGGAAAAATACCATCAAATGAAACATTGAACAAGCTCCTTGATGTCCCACATGATCCTGTTTCATGTGTTGCTAATGTTTCAGGCCAACAGATCAGAGCAGACCTCATTAGCTTTGCTCGTGGATGTATGAAACTATGGCATTGTGTGCATAAAACATGTTAGCACGGTTTGCAGTGTGTGTGATCATTACTCACTGCTCCTAATGTGTGTGCACTAACTTGGATGGGTTGAAGAGGACAGATTCCCGGTGTATTACCATACCATACTTGGCCTTCACATGTCACTTGCATCAATTTCTGGTGACTTTCAGATGTGGTTTTATGTACTGGTGAAACTCGAAAAATATTAATATTCTGCAAAAGTTCATTTATTTCAGTAATTCAACTTAAAAGGTGAAACTAATATATTATATAGACTCATTACATGCACAGTGTGATATTTCAAGCCTTTATTTGTTATAATTTTGATGATTATGGCTTACAGCTATGAAAACCTTTTCACAATATTCAGATTTTGAATTTGGGGTTTTCATAAGCTGTGAGCCATGATCATCAAAATTATAACAAATAAAGGCTTGAAATATCACACTTTGCATGTAATGAGTCTATATAATATAATAGTTTCACCTTTTAAGTTGAATTACTGAAATAAATTAACTTTTGCACGATATTCTAATTTTTTGAGTTTCACCTGTATAGACATTCATATCCAATTCTCCTTTTATTTCTGAATTATTCATCAATGGTTCCATTTACATGAATCCATATAGTGTGATTAAGCTGGAGTTCATGTAAACCGAATACTGTGACTGCTAATAAACCACAGTAACCTAACCATAATCACAGTAAAATATGTGTACTGTGGTTTTAATCACACTATTTGTGTTTTAGTCGAATGTCTATGTGCTAGTGCTGCAGATAGATGGTGTGTCCCACTCATGGAGGGAGGACACACATCCACCATTGGCATTACCAGCAATTTATGGAGCTGTTTATTTTATAAATGTCATCCCTCGCATTATCTATTACTGTAATCTGTCATAGGATTTAACAGCAGCCTGTTTTATGAGCTGTTCTGGACAGCAAATGTTTCTGAAAGGAGAACTTGGACTATACATTGTTCACATAATTTGGATCTATGGTTAGTGCATGTAAGCGTATGCGCTCTAGACACGTCAGAGCCATAATGCAGTTTTGAGAGACTAGTTAGAAGATGCATGGCTCAGAGTTTTCCTACACAATGTCTGCCAATGGGGTAATTTTTTTTTTTTTTTTTTTTTTTTAAGCAAAATCATAATTTTGATGCATTTTTCAGAAAACAAAAGCTATATAAAAGTCTTAATTAATTAAACATCTTTTGCTATTTTGCTTCTCACAGAATGTTTAGATATTTGTACTGGAAAACAGGACAAAAAGTACTACGCTTCCGTGCATTTCACTTACTTTTACATTTGGCAGATGCTTTTATTCAGAGTGATTTATATTGCATTAAGGTTATACAGTTTTTCAGTTCATGCATTCCCTGTGAATTCAAACTGTCCCTTAGCATTGCTAGCGCCTGATAAACCAAGGTCATGGATATGAATCCGAGAAAATACATGTTCTGATAAATTGCACACATTGAATACAATACAAGTCGCTTTGGATACCAGTATCTGGTGCTTTTATATAATTATAAAATGCTTTTACACGGCTTTTCTATGATTAAAATATCAGTTGCGCTTTTCAGTATGTCATTCAGAATAATGATTTAAAAGCTATAAAAAAAAATCCTCTTTTGCACAGCTAAATAAACGTCACCATCTCACCTGCAGAGCCAAAAGTACTGATGTTCCCTGAACAAACAAACGTCTGTGTGTTGATTAGATTATTATCGCCATCACTCTCAGTTTGGAGGACAGTAAAAGCTCAAACGCTGACTCACGCTTGAATGTTTTGCTTTAATTAATACGATTGAAGGCAAATTAGTTTATGCTTCTTTTCATATCCCTCTCTTTTGCAAAATAACACGTCACCACGGAACACTTAGAGACCAGAAAATCAATGAATACATATTTAAAAATCCATTTTCAGTCTTAACACGTCGGTGTTTATTCTATCCCTGTTCCGCCCGCTGGCCAAATCAATGATGTTTTACCATCCCGAAGCCTGATAGTGCTGTCCTACTGTAATAGATTGACTTTCTTCCCTTCCTGCTGGATGTGCTTTAAGACAATAGACATATTGTCATAAGGTGTTATCACCTTCAAGTTCCTGAATTTCAAAAAAATTATATCTGAACCGACTATTATACAGACAGATGTTCTGGTGGATTTTTTCACCTGTTTTATCATCCACCAGCCTGAAGATGTTTTGATCGCTCTAAAGATATTAAGGCCAGAACATTCCCATCCATTAGGATCACACAGTTATAACATAAACAAACTAATAAACGTAATGTGATGCATATTTGTCAGTCAACCCGCCTCAGTGATGTATGCTGCCGACAAATAGACGCTGCCTTCGAGATGAGACAGCTAATGTCTAGATGATCTACTGAAGATCAAACTGAGCGTCAGAATGGGGGAGAAAGCTGATTTAAGTGACTGAATGTGGCATGGTTGTTGGTGCCAGACGGGCTGGTCTGAGTATTTCAGAACTGCTGATTTACTGGGATTTTCACACACAACCATCTCTAGGGTTTACAGAGAATGGGCTGAAAAAGAGAAAATATCCAGTGAGCCGCAGTTCTGTTGGCAAAAATGCCTTGTTGATGTCAGAGAAGGGCCAGACTGGCAACAGTAACTCAAATAAGAAGAGCTACAGCAGCAGAACACACACACCGGTGTCACTCCTGTCAGATGAGAACAGCAAACTGAGGCTACAATTCACACAGGCTCACCAAAACTGGACAATAGAAGATTGGAAAACTTTGCCTGGTCTGATGAGTCTCGATTTCTGCTGCAACATTCAGATAGTAGGGTCGGAGTTTGGCGTAAACAACACTAAAGCATGGATCCATCCTGCTTTGTATCAGTGGTTCAGGCTGATGATGCTGTAAAGGTGTGTTGGAAAAAAAATTTCGGCACACTTTGGTCCTCTAGGTACCAATTGAGCATCATTTAAACGCCACAGCCGACCTGAGTATTGTTGCTGACCATATCCATCCCTTTATGACCACAGTGTGGCCATCTTTTAATGGCTTCTTCCAGCAGGATAACGCACAGTGCCTCAAAGCTCAAATCATCTCAAACTGGTTTCTTGAACATTAAAATGAGTTCACTAAACTCAAATGATCTTCAGTCACCAGATCTCAATCCAGGAGAGCATCTTTTGGATGTGGAGGAACAGGAGATTCACATCATAGATGTCCAGTTGATAAATCTGCAGCAACTGTGTGATGCTAACATGACAATATGGACCAAAATCTCTGAGGAATGTTCCCAGCACCTTGTTGAATCTCTGCCATGAAGAATTAAGGCAGTTCTGAAGGCAAAAGGGGGTCAAACTCAGTACTAGCAAGGTGAACCTAATAAAGTGGCCGTATATTTAGTTTATATTTGTCATCAATAAATCCAATTTGTTTCAATCTTATACATTTTGACTATTGATGTTTGATCCACAGCTAGCATATTTTAACCATGCTCATACCTTTTTACTGAATAAATGCAATGTATTTATGATTTATTTATTTATTTATGCTTCTAAGCAATTTGAATACCTGCATTTTAAAAATATGATTATTTAATTAAAATCAAATAGATGCAATTTGTTACAGTAATAATGAACTATTCCATAATTTTTGGAGTGCAGGAATATTACCTGTTTAAATATGCATCACATTAAGTTTTTTTTTTAGTTTGTGTTAAAACTGTGTAATCCAAATGGGTAGAAATATTATATGCAATTCAAATACATCAATCTGAAATTTAGGCTTATCTATTTATTTTTGAGTGAAAGAAGTCAAAATACAAATGTTTTACTTAAAGTCATCAAATTGAACGGTGATAAAAAAAAAGTATTTTAATATCGAAAAATCACACACCTCTAAGGAGTTAGATCTGAATTACATCAGCTTTAAGGAGAAGGTCTTTCTTGTCCTTTTTAATATATTTCTCTTAATAATCAAGGCCATCTCACCGTATATATCTTGAGAAATGATGGTAGTGAGGTGTTGATGGGGAAAAAGAGGGATATATCGGGATTGAAAGAGACCTTTAGAGGAGGCCTTTCAGAAGTTTCCTCACAGCAGGTTCTCTCCAGCGCTTCAGTCTTTCTGCGTGGAATCACAATCATTTCGTGGCCCGGGGTGCCGTCGTCATCTCGGATAAGATGACAAAGTGTGCTCCTTGATGATGATGATAACCCGAACACGGAGAGGACATTTGCTGGGAATCTCAGCGTGAAGCCACTGGTCCTCAGAGAGATCTCTCGTGGACGTTCAGCGGGACTCTTGGCACATGATGTCCAGAGCAATTTGGCCCTTGATGAGGGAGTCTGAGAAACCTCCTCCTGTTGTGGAAATGGACCAATCGGGCGGGACGCTATGACTTTAAATGTGATGATATCCGATTATGGGCCAGTGGAACATTTTGATTGAGTGTTAGGAATTAAACTGTGTTGAATTGGACATTTTACTGACCTTTACTAGAATTTGAGCCGTTGACTGAATGAAAAACTCATTCAGGAGAGCAGCGTGAGGCGTCTTCAGCAGATCAGACATTCATTGGTGTAAAAAGAGTAATGTACTCTTTATCAAAAGCACTTTGACATTGATTTTGGACATGTACCATGGTACTACCCAAGGTTAATATAGTTAATAGAGTTAACTTAAACTAAAACAATACAAAATAGTTACTTGAAATACAATAAACATCAACTGAAATAAAATATATAAAACTATGTATATATATATATAAATGTAAGTGTTTTATTATTGTAAGTACTTTACATAAAGGTCAAATAAATGTACCACAGAATTAACATACCATAGTATCACCACCGCAGTA